AGAGAGAGAGAGAGAGAGAGAGAGAGAGAGAGAGAGAGAGAGAGAGTAAACGAGAGAGATGGACGGAATGAAAGAGACTAGACAAAGAGGACAGGAGAGAAATGCATATAATGTACACAGAGAAAAGCAGGAAAGAGGGAACGAAGGAGGGATAGAGACAGAGACAGAGACAGGCTGAGATATGAATTGAATGCAATGAAATTGAAAGAAAGTATTCCATAGAGTCCGAATCGAAGACTTTAACAGTTCTCTTCGAATACTCGATGTATTCGATAATGCGCGATGATAATATTAACAAATAGCCAGGTCAAGAACTAGTTCCAAAGCATCTAGACAGCTGTGGAGTTAAATTTTCGACTTGATTAATAAGCTCAATTGTGAACTGGCTATGTAGTTCATGTTAGTTATTAGTTCAGCTTTGACTGTTGTTCACCCTGCTCAGGTGGAAGGAAACATGTGGCAGGTGGAAGAGTTTTTTTTTTCTGGTTCAGCTTGATTGCTGCATTTTTTTTCTATTTCTGTGTTGCCGGCATGCGATAAGGGAAACCCTTGAAGCGCTCCATGGGCTGAGAGCTCAACACGCACATTTCGACCACAGGCCACGCCCAGTGGGCGTTTACCACATGACGCATGCACAAATTTTAATTAAACGCCAACAAATTGGAATTGAAACGCAAATCAAATTAGTCGCAACCACAAAAGCAAAAGCAAAAGCAACAACAACAACAACAACGAAAACGAAGCAAGAAAATGGCATAAAATGTTAACTCGTTCGTTTTTTGCATTTGTCTTTTACAGCTGCCATTTAACGAAGCCCAACAAGCGTCGCAGCAACAGCAGCAGCAGCAGCAACAACAGCAGCAGCAGCAGCAGCAACAGCAATCGACTGCAGCAGCAGCTGTGCCACCGCCGCCGCCGCCGCTTGCCTCCTTGGCAACGCTGCCCAGTCAGGCGACCACTGCAGCGGCAACTATTTTGGGCAGCAGCAGCAACAACAACAACAACAGCAGCAGCAACAACACTTGCCAGCAACAGCAGCAACAACAGCAACAGCAGCAATTGCATGCGCACAACAACAACACATTGCCAGCAGCACCGCAGCAACAGCAGCGCGGCACTCTGCAACATCCGCCGCTGCCCAACAGCAACATCAAGCAAGCCTCTGTCAAACTGATCGAGGGCTACTCAGATCCGAAGGACACGCGCCACCACGGCCAGCACAAGAAGGTCTATCACAAGAAGGCCAAGCGTCGCTCGGCGCCATTGCACAAGCAGCGCCAGCATCAGCAGCAGCAGCAGCAGCTGCAAACCTTGCCAACACCGCGCGGACATCAGCAGCAATTGCAGCAGCAGCAGCAGCAACAGCAACAGTTGCTGCATCGCCATTCCACGTACAACAACAACAACGGCAATCACAAGAAGGACAAACGCAACAGCCACTACAATTCAGGTGAGCAGCAATGTAAACTATAACAGCAGCAGCAGCAGTAGTCATCAGCAACATTTAGCTAGCAAAAATTGTAGATAGCAACAAGAACAACAGAGCACAGCAGCAGCAACAGCTAGCAACAATTGCTTGAAGAACATCCCCAAGCTGACATTCACTAGCCAGCAACAGTTGTAGATGAAGATGAGTAGCATTAGCTAACAACACCTTTACACTTTAGCAACAATTGTTAGCAGCAAGAGCTAGTAACATTAGCTACATGAGTCTGCGATCATTAACAGAAGCCAGCAACAGTCATGAGAGCTAGCAACATGTGCTGTTAAGAACTACATCAGTTGGCAACATAACAAAGCTTAGCAGCATTAGCTAACAGCACAAACACCTTAGCAGCATTTCAGCAACAATCGCTGGCAGCAAGAGTAACATTAGCTACATGAGTCTGCGATCATTAACATTAGCTAGCAACAGACAACAGAGCTAGCAACATGTGCTGTTAAGAACTACATCAACTAGCAGCAACATAGCCAATAAAAAGTCGGCAGCATTGGCTGACAGCTTGGCAGCATTTCAGCAACAAAAGTTAACAGCACTCGCTGGCAGCAAGCGCTAGCAGCATGAACTAGATGAGTCCAAGATCAGTAACAGAAGCCAGCAACAGAACATGAGAGCTAGCAACATTAGCTGTTAAGAAGTACATGCATGCATCATTTAGCAGCAACAGAGCCATGCTCTGCAACATCAGCTAACAGCAGAAACACCTTAGCAACATTTCAGCAGGCAGCAATAACTGTGGGCCACATGCTGCCAGCATAATTCAAATTTCATGCTATAATCAAGCTGCACATGTCTTTATAGAGCTAGAAATATTATTATGCAAGAGTTTTACAAGCCAATTACTGTTATTATGTGCATCTGTTTATGTATTAGAGTGATGTCTGCGGCATTTAGTTGCAAATGGCAGCCGACAGTAAAATGTTGCTAGCGATGCAGGCGATAGTTAAAAGCGTTGCATACTTTTGGGCGGCAGTGAAAAATGCGAGAAACTTTACAGTCGACAGCTAGTTTGGGAAAACTATAGCTGTAGCTACATCAGCTGTATTTTTACACATCCACAGGCGTGGCTTTGTGGGCGTGGCAATTAGATGCATTTGGCAGACAGCGCTAACTGCGGTTGCGGCTGCGGCTGCTGAGATCAGCCAGGCGTTAAATGGCAACTGGCAGCCATTCGACTGCGACACAAGGAGCAGGAGTGAAAGACCAGGGCAGAGAGAGAGAGAAAGAGACAGACCGAGAGACAGAGAAAGAGAGGGAGAGTGTAAGGGAGAAGAGAGTAAGGGATAGAGCAAGTAACGCATTGCCGAGCAGCCAAGCGCCTAATAGACTGCGACAGAGACGCGCCAAAAATGCGCAAAAGACGGAAGGGCGGGAGTGCCAAGGGGGATCCAGTCACCGACTGCCCTTTGGCTCGTTCTCATTTGCCTGGCGACTCAATTAACTGGGCGAGGATAGTTACAACAGCGAACGGATTGCGGGCTCGCTGCACTTGCGTCTAATTTCTCGTAATTATAAACAAAAATCTCAACTCTGACAAGCGGCTAAATTGTTCTTGACAGTTTGGACATTGTCTCTGTTGGCACTTAACAAAAGACAACAACAACAACAACGCGGGCTGCCTCAGACTGACTGACTTTAAGATGCCTGCACCTACAGACCTTAGGAAAGTTGGAAAAAGTCTGCGAATATGTTGAATGGAACTGGAAGGATTAATTGATATTTGATGCTAGAGCTGAGGCAACTGAAGTGCAGTTGAAGCATTGTGAAAGTGTTTAGACTTAGTCCCGACTTGAGACGTCAGTCCCGCAGAGTTTGATGATAGAGTTGGAGCTAAGTGAAGCTAGAGGTTAGAATTAGACTAAGGACAATAGTCTGGGCTGGGGTGAGTTAGGCTAGCGAGCAATTAGAATAGAGCAGGATTGGTGGTAGGTCAATGAAGGGCGTAAGATTAGAGTTAGGTAAGGTTTAGGTTAGGTAGGACATGAGTAAGTCTACTTGAGTATTAAAGATGAGATAGATAGGAGTTCGATTTAAACTAGCTATAGTCATAATGGAATCATATGATTTAGATTGTCACTAGCCCCACGTAAGGCTATGTTAACTCAGGTATGGATTGCTTTGGGGTTGGGTCAGAGGTAGGCTCTGTTGATCCTATAAGGGTGTGTATAAGTGCATAAGGGTTTTTATAAGGTGTAAGCTATAGTGTATAGTGTATAGTGTATAAGGTATATAGTGTATAGTGTATAGGTGTAAGCTATATCGGAGTTGAGTTAAGTTAGAATCTCATATGATCTGTGCCTGGGGTGGCTTTAACCAAGGCCTCGCCTAGATCTGTGTTAGCTGCTATCTTACATATATAAGGCTAGGAAACTTTCATGATCCACTAAAATCTAAACTAATATTTTGCATCTGCAGATTCCTCGGCACCCAAGTCCTCTGACGAGGAGGCGGACATAGACGAGGAGGTAGAGCGTACGGCACCGCCAGCAGCAGCAGCAGCCGGAACCGGAACTGGCGTCGCAGCTGGGGACTTGCTCAATTCACCGGACAGCATCTCGGATGATCTAGTCCGTCCGCTGCCCGCTCAACTGCAGCGCAGTCCACGCAAATTGACGGTCGCCCAGGCGGAGCACAGCAAGCGACAGCCGTCGCCGTACTACTACTCGGACTTGCTCAAGACTCGCGACAAGGAGGAGGAGGGCAGGAAGCCGACGCTCGAGCGGGAGCGCGAGGCGAAGCAAAAGTGCCGCCAGTCCACGGCCAGCGAGCCGCCGCAGCAGACTCTCACGCAGCCCCATCGACTGGGCGGCTATCGCAAGAGCAGCAGCCTCGATGCGCCACAATCCCAGCAGCAACAGCAACAACAACAACAGCAACAGCAGCAGCAGCAAGAGGAGCAACTGCAGCCGAAGGGAGAGGAGGCAGAACTAGACAACGATCCAGTCGAGCTCGAGGAGGCCACGTGCCTGACCGAGCAGTCGACGCCGAAGCGCTACAGCTTCACGGAGGAGGGCGTACGCATCATACGCTGTGAGACGCCCAGCACCAGCACCTCGGAGGAGTCCGACTGCAGCGAGTGCCTGAAGCGACGCGAGTGGCACGCGCGTGCCTTGGCGCTGGTGCGCAAGACGTGCAACGTCCAGCCGCGGCAACAGTTGCCCATTGGCAGCGGCGAGTTGCAGTTGCAGCTGCAACATTGCGACGCCGGCGAGGGGGAGCTGCTCAAGTGCTGTCCGCCAGCAATCGGAGGAGTGGGAGTAGGAGTAGGAGGAGTGGGCGTGGGCGTGGGAGATTTAGCGTGCGAGTCGATGCCGCCGCACCGCCTGCTGGGCCCAGCAGCCGTGTGCGGAGCCTGCATACCGACGCCCAACAAGACGATTGGACTGGGCCACGGCGATGAGGACCAGCTGGATGAGCTGGAGGAGTACTTTAGGCCACGCAGCATATTCTACGTGCATCCGCATGGCGTGCACGAATGCGTCGAATGTGCGCCGCCAATTAAGCTAGAGGAGCAGCAGCAGCAGCAGCAAACAACAGGCGTGAAAGAGCAGGAGGAGCAGCAGCAACAGGAAGAGGAGGAGGAAGAGGAGGAGCAGGAGGAGGAACGGGAGGAGGAAGGTGAGGAATACGATTCCGACAACATGGCCAGTCGACGCCGTCAAATCTATGAGACGGCCTTCGATTGCAAGATAGCCAAGTCAGACGATGATCTCGATGAGGTGGATCGCATCACCAATCACTCGGTCTTGCTGCAGCTCAACAGCAATACCAACAGCAACAGCAACAGCAATGGCAACGAGCTATCCGTGCCGTCCAAGTCGCTAAGCAAAAGCCGTCTCGAATGCAAACGCGCCAAGAATAGCAAAAATCAGGCGCTGCAGCAGCAGCAGCCACAACAGCAGCAGCAACAGCAGCAGCAGCAGCAGCAGCAGCAGCAACAACAGCAGCAGCAGGAGTCGCCTGATGGACAGTGTCAGGTGGTGCTGCAGGTGCAGGCAGAGCTCAGTCAGCTGCAGCTAAGCCAAACAGCAGATCAGCAGAATCAGAATCAGCAACAGCAACAGCAGCAGCAGCAGCCGCAGCAACAGCAGCAGCAGCTGCCCACGCGTGGGTACACGCCCTCGCCGCCTTCGACGGCGCCGCTGCCCATCAAGTTTCCGGGCAAGCACGAGCGCTACATGAACAGCATAAAGAGCGCACCGAATCTGCCAGCGACGCAGCCGGCGCATCCGCGACTGCGCGACTTGCGGCTGCCCTTGCAGGCATCGCTGCGCCAGCACCAGCAGCACCAGCAGCAGCAGCAGCAGCAACAGTTGCATCTGTGCGCGAGCAGCAACGACAACAGTCTCACCGACAGCGCCTACGTGAATCCGCCCTCAACAAACTCGAACTCGAACTCGGCTGTTGCCTCCACCTCGGCTTCGTCGCGTCGCCCGCGCAGCTTTGTGCTGGAGTCGGGTCGCGTGCTGGAGCTGCGCCGCAGCGCCCATCACCATCATCATCAGCAGCAGCAGCAACAGCAGCAGCAGCAGCAGCAGCAGCAGCAGCATGGCAAGCAGCAGCACTTGGCCAAGCCCAGGCACAACTACAGCTCCACCGAGAGCATTGCCACCTCCTCGAGCGGCGGCAGCATGGAGTCGTTGCGCAGCAGCACCAGCGAGGGCAATCGCAGCACCTCCAGCTCGGAGTCGCGCCACTCCAGTTCGCTCAGCTCGCACAGCTCCGAGAGCAGCAACAGCAATAGCAACAGCGCCAGTGCCAGCGCCAGTGCCAGCGCCAGCGCCAGCTCGAGTGTCGCCTATCCGCTGCGCGCTCCGGTGCTGCTGCACTCCAAGCTGCACATACTCAGCCCCATATCGGACAAGTCCTCGCAGGAGCCGGCCTCCGAGCAGTCGCAGCAGCCGGCGGCAACGGCAGCTGCCGCTGCGAGCCTGCAGCAGGAGGAGGCCTCGGCAGAGGCTGCGGCCGCTGCGGCTGCTGCTGGCAGCTCGTCTGTGCCTGTCCAGCTGCTGGTGAAGCAGCAGCGCAGTGGCAGCCAGCGGGCAGCGGCGGCGGCGGCGGCTGCGGCTGCGGCGCCCAACAAGGCGCTGCTGCACCTGGCCGACGAGCTGCTCGGCTCGGACAGCGGCATCTCCTTGCACTCGCGCGAGGATGGCAAACCAACGACTCTGGCGCTGCAGCGCCTGACGCTGCCCAAGCTGCAGCTGGGCAATGGCAGCGCCGCAGATACGTCCTCGTCGGCGGCAGCGGGCATCTCCTCGGCGGCCGCAGGGGCTGGCGGCGGTGGCGGTGCAGCTGGATCCTCGGCGCTGCCGCAGGAGCTACGCGACTTGCCCTTCGACATGCCCAAGCTGCGACGCCGCAAGACGCTGCAGCAGGAGGCGGCCTGCACCTCGGGCAGTGCCACCTCCGTTGACCTAGGCGATCTGCCCTTCGACATGCCCAAGCTGCGCAGGCGACTGCGCGCCAACCAGGCGGAGATCAATAATCTGCTGATGCACAGCACCGAATCTAGCGGTATTTCCCAGGCATCCTCCAGCCATTCGATGCGCGACGAGCAGAAGCTGGCCAGCAAGTTGGGTGAGTTGACATGGCCGAGAATCTTTGCTTTAATTACATTTCATTACTTTCAATTACTCGGGCAAATTGCCTGAAAGTAATTGTCAGGGTTATGTAATTACTTTTTACTCTTGATTAGCTGGCAAGTGAAATATTTATCAAAGTTTTTTATCTAAAAAGAAAAAGAATTCATCATATGAATTTTCTTTGAGTAATTAAAGTTATTTGCGAGTAATTAAAACGAAATTCGAGTAATTAAAGTGTTTTCTTAAAGGGCATTTAGATTTACGAAAAACATCATTTGATTAGACTTTATATTCTCAACTCTCTCTCTCTCTCCCTGTCTCTCTTTGCAGACACAGCGCTGTTCCGTCAGAATCTGACATTGAATCTGAATGAGCCGCGCCAGGTGAACAAACAGTTTGGCAGTCTAGATCTGCGTGGATTGAGCAGTCACAAGGAGCTGAACATGAATCTGGGCCAGGGCTACGTAACGGCTGTCGATCTAATAGATGTGACCATACCACTAGAGCGTCAAGGGTAAATATACAAATATCTGTCTAACTCTCTCTCTCTACTACTAATCTCTCTCTCACTCTGTCTCTCTCATTCTCTCTAGCTGGTACCATGGCGCTATCACACGTATCGAGGCAGAGACAACGTTGCGTCCTTTGGCCGAGGGCTCGTTTCTGGTGCGCAATTGCGAGTCCACCAAGCAGGACTATTCCCTATCGCTCAAGTAGGTCAACTCGACTGAAAAAGTGTAAACTATCTCTCTATATATCTCTCTCTCTCTCTGTTTTTCTCTGCTACAGAGGCGCCAAGGGCTTCATGCACATGCGAATACAGCGCAACGAGGCGGGGCAATATATCTTGGGCCAGTTCAGTCGACCCTTCGAAACGGTGCCCGATATGATACGGCATTTCTGTCTGAATCGCTTGCCCGTCCGTGGAGCAGAGCACATGTGTCTGATTGAGCCGGTTATAGCGCAGCTGCTGTAAACTAACAGAGCTGTTAACGCAACTATGTTAACCTGAGAGATGTCAAAGCCGCGCACGGCCAGAGAAAGCAACATACATATTGATATATAGCATATAGAGACAGCTCTAGAAATCTACTCTTTATACATACATATAGCGTGTATATCGATCGATGTGCCGATGCCGATCCATATATATGCATTAGTCTATATATGCTCTAGTCTTAATTACAAATTGTTTCTACTCATCTCACTCTGTTATGCTCTCTATGAAACTTGATTTCGTATCAATTAGCACACTGATTATGTTAGAGCAGAGTATTAGCGAGACACACGAACTATGTAGCTTAGTATTAAACAACATGAGAGGAGGAAGGGGAAGGGGAAGGAGAATGGGAATGAGAATAAGAAAGAAAAAACAAGTACGTAGCACTTTCAGACAATACGAGAACAGAGCAGATCGCATAAACCAAATAAAATATTTATACACAATATACACGATATATATAAATATAAATATATATATCTAACTAGATCTAGAAAGCAAAAGAGCACTTGACAGTTGCTAGACGTAGTACAGACACTCACACACATACGATATATATATTTCTGTTTTTTTGTTCCATTTTTTTTCGGTGTACTCGTAAACCACGATAACAATTTGATATCTATTCGTAACTAGCGATTATCACGCGTATATTAAATACTTGCAAAGTCTAAGAATACTACGTAGATTACACTAATACAGCAAACCAAAACACATACACACACACACACAAACACTCAGTGATCATGACTCACAACTCACATTTGAAGCCTCGTTCACACGGCACGTTTACACGATGTTTGCTTTTTTTGCGCTTTGTTCGTTGTCGACTCGAAATGAAGGAAGAAGCTAACAATTTGTTAATTAATTTTATGTTCGAAACTAATATCTATATATATATATACACATGGGTATATCGATTAATGTTATCGATAGTTAGATTTATCGTAACTTATCTAGAAGGCGTAATAACTTCATATATATATACATATATATTTTTTTTCTAGTTTTAGGCCAGGCAGGCAAACGTAGAGCGCTCAAAGCGTTTTCGATTATTGAATATGAGTAGAACGAAGTCTATCGACTAGGGCGCTATCGTTATCGTTATCGATATCAATATCGTTTGGCAAGGATATAGCAACGCATATGAAAAACTTACGGTTTTAAGTGTTAGTTTCTAATAACTCTCTCACACTTTCAGTCTCACTCTCTATATGTAGAGTCAAGCACGGGCTAATTAAGCATTATATATAGATCTATATATATACTACATATATAAATGTATGATAATACATATATATCTAACACAATATTACGAGCAGTCAATGGTTTTTTGGTTCCAGAGCAAAAGAAAACGAAGAATGAGAAAAAAGAGAACAGAAATGAAAGAGTTGGATAATTTCAGATCTGACAGCATTATCTATCTATATGTGCAATAAATGAGTTTTGTTTCGAATGCAAATTATGTTTTTTATGTGTGCCAAAAAGTATTTAAGTATTATCATTATTATTATCATTCTCATTGTCATTATGATTGCCATTATTCGATATATTTTTATAACTAGAGATTTTTGTTATTTGTTGTCTAATTTGTAAGTCTGTCAACGCTGTGCAATACGCAGACCATTTTACCTTACCTTACTCTCTATGCGTTTTACCACACTGCTTTTATGTTATGCAACACTGTCTCCAGTTAGAAATGAGAGCCACATCGAGTATATATATTTATATATAACTATTGAGTTAAGCTTGATCCAGCTGCAAAGTTGTAAATATATTTATCTATATCTAACACACACACACACACACACACATACATCTTTATACACATATATACAAGCTATACGAAAACCAAGAGTATTTGATTTGATTTGCAATACAATTTTAAGCATAAGACTTCCATATCTCCATGCATCAAATTCAATTTAAAATAAAAAAAGCAAAAATCTTAAGTATAGCAAAAAAAAAATATTATGTTGAGGCTTCCAGCAGGAGTAGGCAGTAAAATGAAGGATACAGCAGTAAGCGAGCGAGAGAGGAAGAGAGAGTGACAGAGAGAGAAAGAGAGAGGGACTCTAAAAATAACTTTTGCCCAATTCTTGTTTCTAGAGAACATGGACAGCTCTCTTTCTCTCTTACTCATGCTATCTCTCTCACCCTTTGACCCTCTATCTTCTATCTCTGTGACTTCATCTTACTGTCCTGCACATGTGTCAAACTATAAAACCGAACACCAAAAACAACACAATTATAAATGATAAACAACAACAGGAAATATTAATGAGAGACGAAAACAATGAACAGCAACAAATGCAAAAATACAAATTTAATAAACATCAACCGAAAACAAAAACAAAACGAAATGTATTTAATAAATAAATAAAAACAAAAAACATGAAAATAAAAACAAAACTTGAAAAAAATTAAACATTTATGCATTATAATTTATCGATGAGGAAGAGAGAGAGAGAGAGATCAACCATCTCGGGTAGATGATCTAGGGATGACTATTGTCTATGATAAAAAACATCGTAAGAGTTCCTTGCATCCATGAGATTATCTCGACAGCATCTGATACTTGAACCTTGATTGATGATTACCCGATGCATCCTCACTTCGTCTCGAATGACCTTTCCCAAGAAAGTTGTATAAGAAAGCATCTTTCCGGTACGACCCAACCAACCCAATAAAAAACACCATGCATTCGGTTTACATAAACGTTTTATTAAATCGTTTTGATAGCGCATATCATAAGTACGTATGTGTGTGCTTTAGCATAGTATGTTATGGTATATGCCTACAAACAGGTAGGTGTATATTTGTATATAAGTACGTAAGGTTATATTCAATAAATTATATAGACTTGGTGAAACTTGCACTTGAAACTTGCACGAAGAATTATTTACAACAGACCTCAAGAACATATTTTTATTTCTTGCTCTTTACACATTATATAAGTACATGCCTTTCCATTCCTCTATTTCATTAATAAAAAAATACTAATTCGTTGATTGTATGGGCATGGAGCCCCACCCAGCTCCATGCTCCATACTTGACATTATTATATATCTTTATATATATATATATCGTATATTGACCCAATCTTGGCTATAGAAAAAAAAAATTGATAATTTTGAAGACTTGCAGGAATTCGGACTTCCTGTGCTTAGTGCTTGGGACATTTAATATAATAATTTGGTGTGCTCTGCTCGGGCGTGGCCTAGATGGCCGCCTCAATACCCTCAGCGTTCTTCTTGATCAAGCTCTCCCATTGCGCGATCAGGCGATGCGACGATGGCGCCTCCTCCGGCGTAAGATCACAGAGCTGGGCCAGCGACATGGCCGGGCGCATGCCCGAATTGGAACCGGATGTGCTCAGAATATGGTTACTGCCATTCGATAGGGCGCTGCCGGCGTTAAGGCTGCGATTGCCCGCCGACTTGTGGCCCATTAGCTCCAGATCGTTGCTAAAGTGGGAGAGAGAAGAAGACACAATGGGATGTAAGTAGTTGTAGTACTGACCTAACCCCCTGAAGCCTTGTCATCAACTCATTTGAGTTAAACTGAAAGCTAAAGTAAAGTAGTAGAGCTAAAGTAACTCTCCTTTGTGGATAAAGGGGCTACTTATCCCTAGTCGTAGTCGTCTAGTCCTTAGAGAGTTTTACTTTAAAGGGGTTGATCACTCGATAAGAATGTAGGAAAAGAATAGAACGAGATAATGAACCTCGATCACTCGATAGGAATGTAGGAACAGAATAGAACGAGAGGTTCATTATCTCGTTCTATTCCTTTCCCAAATTCATATCAAGCGAGTTATCCCTTCTAGCTACCCTTCACTCAATTCCCTTGCACTCTCTTTCGATATCGATCTATCGCCCCTTGAGTTAGCCCCCTCTGCTCACCTATCCCTTTCCAGCTCAAGCGTGGATTGTGCATTGCGCAATTTGCCGGGACCATAGCAGTGCTCCACCTCGGAGTCGTCTTCATCGTCATCGGCATCGGCCTCGTCGTCTGTGCTCAGTGGCCTGGCATTACAAAGAGAGAATGGATTAGAGGGGCTCTGTTGAGTTAAGGGATTCCGCTCCGGCAGACTTACAGCTTCTCCAGCATATGCTGACGGTTGAGCTTGCGCAGACGCTTCAGCTCAGTCTCGCGACTTTTGAGGTCCTGCAGCTCACGCTGGATCTTCTGCTCGACGGGCACATAGCCTCGCCTCAGTGGCCTGCCCTCCGAGTCCCGCTCGATGTTGCTGTTGCTGCTGATGCTGATGTTGCCGTTGCCGATGTTGCCGTTGATGTTGTTGTTGTTGTTGTTGTTGGCCAGGTTGATGGCCAGCGGAGAGGTCTGGCCCGACTCCAAGAAGGCCAAAGCATTGCGCGAGTTCAGCTTGAGTGTCGGACTATTGCCGTTGGCCAGCAGCAGGGGCTGGCCAGCGGACTGGCCCAGCTGAAGCTTTCCGTGCGAGGCAATGAAGCGCTGCATCACGCCCTTTGTGGAGCCATTGAAGGCGAACTGGCGCTTCTGCGGCTGCAGCTGCGGCGTTCCCGGAGTCCGGGTCAACAGCTTCTGCTGCGGCGGCTCTGGCGTCAAGTTGTAGCAATTGGGGCCAATGTAGCGCGACTCCTGCCTGCCCACCAGGTTCAGCTTCAGGCCCGCCTTGCCCTCGGACTTGCCGTTGTTGTTATTGATGGTCTTCTGCGAGGAGGCCGAGATGCCCGAATCATCCGAATGGTGTTCATCCAAGCTCTCCTCCTTGTGGCTGCTGCTGTGGCTATTCACGCTGGACGCCAGCGAGGGCGTGTTCGATGGCGATTGCTCCTCGATGGGCACCAGCAGCGAGGTGACCGACGCCGGCTGTGCTGTCACCAGCGCGCCCTGATCCACCTCATCGTGGCCAGCCTCCTGCCGCGGCGCCAGCTCGCTGGCATTGCCACTCAATGCGAAGTTCACGGCGATCGGCGGTGAGGCTGTTAGAGCTGCTGCCGATGTCAGCTGGCGGTACTCCTCCTCGCGTCGCACCACCTCCTTGATTTCCTCCTGAATACGTGTCAATGGATCCATTTTCTGCGGGGGAGCGAGCGAGAGAGAGAGAAGGGTTAGGCAATTCGATATCTTTGTGTGTGTGGCAAGCAGGAAGAGATCCGATAACAAATCGTATTTGTGTAATCGAATATGATGACAAAACGGGGCGCAACGCATGTCGCTGCAGCTGTCAGCCAACAGCCAGAGCTCCAGCTCCAGCTACAGTGAGCACTGCCTAAAGCCATTGAAGCTTAAACCAATTACTCGGCGAATCAAATGAATAGAAAGCGAGACGTGGTGTCTATAGGAGGAGGGTGAGAGGGGATGGGGGGCAGCAATTGGAAGAGAGAGAGAGAGCGTTAGGCGAACAGTTGATTGAGCTAGTTGATACCCTGTAATCCGCAGCGCAGACGCCTCAACACTTCTTGGACTGAGTGCACAGTGGGGAATACTTACAGTAAAGATTGCGAATGCTAGTGCCTTTGACTACGCTAGCGACTATTTAGCCTATTCTAGACAATATACGACAGTAGTAGAAACCGCCTCAACACAACTTGCTTCGCAGCTATTTTGAACGATACTGAATAAAAGTCGAGGCAAACAGTTGGAAGAAAAGCTGAGGCAAAAAGAAAAGCTGATGTGATTGGAGAATACTGTGGAGGCAGTGCGATGACTGAGTCTGCCTTAGCGAGTGAACACTGTGGACTGAGCGAGCGTTGGCTTAGCTCGGACTGAATGATGAATTTTGTTATGTGATGAAGCGCAAATGTTGCAGCTGCTGCACTTACATGCCCGCAGATCGGCTCACAGAGTGGAGAAAGAGAGAGAGAGAGAGAGAGAGAGAGAGAGCGGGAGGAGGAGTTGCTTATCGAAGCACAATTGAACAATAGCGGATTAGGGCCAAAGACAGTGCAGAAGAAGAAGAAGAAGAAGTTGATGGCGACAGAGAGGGACACCCATGGTGAGTTGAAACAGGGACAGGGGCAGGGACAGGCGAAGGGGCAGAGGAGAAGCTTCAGCTAAAACGAATGGAGTCAGCGTAACGAACTGCGTTAAGCGACTTTTGATGCGTGCGATCGCAAAAGTTGCGTGACATTTGGACTTTAAATTGAATTCCGAACGGCAAACAAAGGGACGACAACAGAGGCGGGGCGTGGCGAGGGGCTGAAATGCTAAACATATACGAAGTGAAACAATCGAGAGTAAAAGTGTTTGAAAGTAAAAAAAAAATAAAATAATAATAAACAACAAACAGAGCGACAATGGAAATGAACAACAGGTTGTTGTTGTTGTTGCTGTTGTTGTTGTCACATATTATGAATGATGGGCGTGACAAAGGTGACCTCAAAGTTATGACACTGCATGCCATAAAAAATAACAGAAGGGCGGCAAGTAGGAGAGAAGGGTGACGAGGGGCGAGGGGCGAGGTGACGAGAAAGACAGGGGGAGCTCAATGAGTGAGAAAAATGAAAATGAAAAATTGTAAATGAAAATGAAAATGGGAAGCTTTTAACGGATGCGGTTGAGTGGGCTGTAATGCGATATAAATATATAGATATATACATGCATATACATATGTATGTAGCTATGTGGTGTGGAGAAGGTATAGAGATAGAGATAGAGATAGAGATAGAGATAGAGATAGAGATAGAGATAGAG